TGGAAATTGATATATTGGTTCTATTTCTATGAACATCTTCCTATGAAACAATACTGAAGTGAATGCTCTTGAAGACCACATCCATATGTTATGCCTCCTGATAGAGGCCTTAATGCTGACACTAGATTTAAGACTTCTGGAAAGACAGTTTCTCTCGCTTGTACTTCCCAAGAGTGCATAGAACTTTTATCTAATACTATTGATACACTTTATATGTAATTTAAACACTCTTTGATTCAGCAAGAGATGTGTTTGCATTCCCTTACTACCTCTCTTTGAGAAAGGAATGGGAAGAAGTATGGCCTCAGCCTGCCATAATAGTATGAAATAATACTTATTTTCAAGGGCAAATATTTTAATTTCCTCTTGATATGATAGTCATGACAAAGATAAGCCCAAAAGATGATTTCCTGTCTCCAAAGGAAATTTCCAACCCAAAATATGAAAGCATGAGCTTTATTTTCACAACTAAATTTTCTTGAGCTGTTTCTGGATAAATTCCCCACAAATCAAGAAGATGGTTTTCCTCTCAAATCATTCCTTGTCATACTTGTTAAGCTCTTCCCTGAAGTACAAGGCGCAAAGTTGTTTTTCTAAGATGGAGACAAATTTTAGTAGCACCTGGGATGAAAGCACCAGTTTATTTCGTAACAGTCATTGGGTGATAGCTGGTGAAAAACCAAATGAAACTGATAGCAGAAATAGAAGGCTTCATCTCCCATTGTTATATGACCTTCACAGCACTGATCTGCTTTACAGGTGAGATAAATATTTGGCTCTTAATGACTGATGCTAAATATGCAGCAAGAGTTACAGGCAGGTACTAGTTTAGTAAGTATCTTGGAATTACTAGTGATCTTCATGTCTCATTCCCCCTCTGTACAGTGGTGTTCCTTCCAATTTAAAGAAACCCCAGATTTTGACTTCAGAAAGAGCAGTAAGTTGTTGGCCTGGATTGGAGACTGGCTCATTCAGGGGACTCCTGCTAGGTACACTTCAACAGTGTCAAAAAAAGGTGGGAGGAAAAGAGGATTTAAAAATATATTCTAATAGACCATAGGCACTTTTCATGACATCTCCTTTTCTCACTGCTTGGTAATAGTTTGAGAACTCAGGTCTAAATATATAAAGATTAAACAATTTAGACACATTTACTTGTAACTGATATTGTTTTTATTAATTGTATTTTTACTGTATGCTGGCCTCATATTCTTCAGTAGCAAAATTAATGATTACATTGTCATGCATCCATCTAAGAGATTCATACTACAGTCAGGAATTACTCTTTCTGTTCGTATGTTGGAAAGAAAGAAGAGAAAGTTTGTGCAAGAGTCAAATTCAACATTAGACCTGAATTCTAAGTCTCAGTATTTAGAAGAGTAGACAACAAAACACTCAAGTTGCTTCAAAAATACAATGTGAATTTACCTCTGAACTCTTCAAAACACAATGTGTGTTCATATTGAATTTGAGTTGGATCATAAAATAATTCTTTGAACTATGTGAGGGGGTAAAACCAACAAAAATAACAAACTCTCAATTCTTTACTGCAGCATCTTTCAGCTTCTTAGCTCCTCACCTTGTGAGCCCCAAAACAGCTCTTGGTGTTATGGATTAGCTTACCAATTTGACTTTCACTGGTACCACTGGATAGCAGCTTTTTGGCATCCTCTTCGTGCATGGACTCCTGTTGAGTACCCCATGGGTCTCCTCCAGCTTCTGTGCTTGTAAAGGTCAGCAGCAATCCTGTAGGTTATTTATTTAACTAATACTCCTTTTTAAACTCCTACCTTTGCAGGGAGGCAGAAGTAAACTTCACATATTTTCAAACCATCCATTTCTTCCTGATGGAACAATCATGAAGTTTAATGAATTAACCATTCCAACTGGTCTGCCATAGGCACACTGGTCCTTTAAAATGGTGTGTGCCACAAGCCTCAGACCTGCAGTGGTTCCCTTTACTGTATGGGTGACCAGAACATGGAAAGCAGTGGCTGGGGAAAGGATTTATGGGTCCGTGACAAAGTAGAAGTTACTAAAATGGACTAGCAAGAAGTTTAGATACCTAAGTGAAAAAAGTTATGATGAGAAAGAGAGAGGTGATCTTAGCTCTGTATGAACCACTATTGAGAGAGACACAGCAGTGCTTGGTACTATCCTGGTATCCCTTCTGCAAGGCATCTTCAGAAACAGGAGAGTGTGGTTCCAGCTCCGGAAAAATTTTATAAGTTTGAACCTTAGGGAGTGTGGGAGATGTAAATGACACATCCTATTTAGTTTAGCAGGGAGAAAATAGATCAAAATGCAAATCAGTTTACAATGTAGTAAAATTAAAAGAGAGAAAAGGCCTAGCTGACATGCAGCTATATCCACTGTTGAAAACTGAAGCCTTCATATTAGAAATAAAGCCCAAGTTTTAGCAGATAAAATAGTGAACTTGGAAAAAAAATACCCAAAGAAATAGTGTGTTGTCATTTTTTAATGTTTTCAAACCAAAACTGCATGCCATAAAATGAAAGCTGATCATCATCATACAGCAAGGCCTGACCAGGAGAGATACCTTTACATTACCTTTGGCTGCTTGCTTGCTTTACTGCTAATACAGGTCTCACCTTCTCTAAAAGCTCAGAGGTCACTTCGGCCATAGTCTACAGCTGCATAATTCCTAAAGATAGTCCATTTACTTTTAACAAAGATATTCTTAGGTCGTGGAATGACTTTTGGAAGAAAAAATAAAATGGCAAAATCTGCCCACATTATAACAAAATATATATTCAAGAAATGCATTCAGGTTTTTTTCTCCAGAAAATATACTGTATATTTTATTACAGCACATTAAAACTGATAATTGAAGTATTTAGTTAGTGAAACAGCACTTGTCCCATTTGCCACATTTTTAATGGTGCTCTCCACGACCCCCCCAGCCATGTAGATGTTGCACAATTGTTGCACAAAGGACAACGCCTTTGCCAAGTTTGCTTCCCTGCCAAACCCACAGACTTTTTTTTTTTTTTTTTTAATCACTTACTGTGCCAAAGTCAGACAGAGTTCACTGCCCCGGCGTCCCTGCAGCAAACCCGCGGGTGCCCGGCTGCAGGGGCAGCTCCGGGAGGCGGTACCGGGACGCGCGTCGACCCCGGCTTTTCTCGGGGGAGGGGCCCGCCCTTGCTGAGGGGTTTCGAGGGGAGCGCTGTGCCAGCTCGGCTTGGCGACGCCGGGTGTGCTCAGCTACCCCGTGCCCCGCGGGCTCGGCTCCCGCTGCTGCAAGCAGCTCGTGTCCCTGGATGTGAGGCCGCTGCCCCACTCCTGGTCCGGGTGGGAGCCGAGCCCTCAGCCGTGCAGCTCCCGCAGGCTGCCCCTCCCTCTACCCTCTGCGCCCGCATTCAGCAGCAGAAGAGTTTGCGGAAAGCTGCAGAGCTGCGAAGCCTATTTGACCTTCCACTTGCGTGTGTAAGGGCTGGTGAAGGTTCGCCGCCGGCCGGCGGGATGCTGCTCCCAGTGGCAAAACGGGCCTATGGTTTTGTGCCAGTTTTGTTTTCCTTTTAGCAGATATGGCTTAATATTGACCATCTCTAATTTTCGAGGTAGTGACAAAAGGTCAGATCTGACACATGTTCCTTCCCCCAGTCAACCTATTTGCAAATAATTAATAAGGGCACAATTAGTCAGTAATGACGGGACCCACAGATACGGTCTTCCTAATAGTAACAGGAGATTGATGCTGCTGAGCACATCTCCTTTTGATGACTCAGTCGAGGTTCTGCGACGTGCGCCTTCGATCTCTGTCAGAAATGACCCCGAGACCTCCCCCCCAAATAAAGCCCTACCAAGAAGTCGGAAGAGCACCTTAACTATGTTTGCTTTTGGTTTTTATTATCAACAATCAATTAATGGTACACTCTTGGAAAACTATATGCACATGTAGAAATATTTCCCCTTTTAAATAGAAGCATTCATTTTAACCACATATAAATAAATCTGAAAACCCTGAACATAATTTATGACGATTATGCTCACAAACATATTCCAACAGGTGGGGAAAAGAAAAAATGAGACGACATGCAACCGATAACAAAAATATATATAATTGCCTGAACCTGGTGTCTCTAAACGCAAAGGGAACCGAACCCATGAGAACCTTATTTCTCCATAAAGACACGCCATAGAGACTACGAGAAGGGAAAACATTATTTATACGGTCAACTAGACAAGTCTGTACTGATATTAACACTATACAGTTGAGTCACAGAACACAGTTGTAGAAAGACACGGAAAAAGAGAAAGCATACCTGGCGACATTCAACTAAGAGCTATAGTTTTAAAATAAAATTAGAAAACCCTAACGGAGATGCCTAAAAACTGCGTGGACCGTGTAATAATAATAATTAATAATAATTAATTAATAATAAATACAGGCCGCCGGCCGTGAGAGGCGTGGGCCCTGCAGGGTCCGGATCCGTGGTGCGGAGGCAGCGACCGCCGGGTCAGGGCCGAACCCGGCGGGGCGCCAGTGGCGGGGGCAAAGGAGAGACCCAGGACCCAACGGAGGGACAGTGACATCGGACGGCGGAGGAAGAACCGCCCACAGGCGCGGGCCGGGGGCGGTGGGAGGGTGGCGTGGGAAGAGGGGAGGAGGGGAAGAAGACACTTTGTCCCTCAGGCTGACCGTGAAAAGGAACTTAAAAAACCCCACGGGCGGGCAGGGTGCCCCGCTTCGCCTCCGGGCCGCCCGCGGGCAGAGTCCCCGCGGCCCCGCCGCTGCCCCCGCGCCCGCGCAGCGCCCCCCGCGCAGCCGCCCCCCCGCCCCGCCACGGCGGAGGCGCTGCGGGACCGGCCCCGCCGCCAGGCCGGGGGCGAGGGGAGCCGGGCGCGGCCCCCCGGGGGGACGCGGGGCCCCTGCCCCGCGGAGCCCGGCGCAGCCCGAGCCCCTGGTCATTGCTATGGGCGGGCGGCGGATACTAATGAGCGGGAGGGGCCGCCGCCGCTGCCGCCGCCGCCGC